TCAATCAATCAATCAATCAATCAATCAATCAATCAATCAATCAATCAATCAATCAATCAATCAATCAATCAATCAATCAATCAATCAATCAATCAATCAATCAATCAATCAATCAATCAATCAATCCTTCACCACCACAAGTATGGTTCAGTTTGGATTCCATGACATCCATGGCAAGCTGGTTCGCAAGTACGATGCCAGTGAAGACCTTTCCCTTTCTAGCGAAATAAATGCAATCAAGGTCTACGGTCGAATTGATTTCACCTTGAATAGCTACAAACAATTCACATCGATGCTGAGAAGATCTTCCAATAAGTTCAACAAAATTACTCTAGCAGACATCCCGGAGGATCAGTCGCCTGAATTTCTGGCATTCTTGGTGCTCATTTCCAACAAAGCCAAAAGTCTAGAGTTCACAGGCAACTGCCAGCTTACAAGGTACTCAACTACCTGTTTGATGTCCACCTTGCTTCAATGGAACGGGATTCAAGAACTGGTACTCGATGGACAGATTCCAATGACCACTGCCAAAGCGAAGTTACTATTCGAAGGAGTGGCTTCTTCTCCATGCCTGGAGGTTCTAAGCTTGCACCCGCAGTTTGATGACCAACAAGTTGCTGGTGATCTTTTGATTCGTGCATTGAGTCAAAATCGTAGCTTGGAGCGCCTTGATATGACCCTTCTACCTTCTGTGGAACGCCCGGGTTTTTTTTCCCAAATTTTGGAATGCTGCGATTCTAAAGACAAAATTGAAGCATCTTTCCTTACGCGCATATCGATACCAACTGCCACTAGAAGTCATGAAGGATGTTCTTTGCTATAGCGACGACTGTGAACTCGAGGGGTTGGGGATTTATGGATGTCAGGTGGTGGTGGGGTCCACATCCTCATTGTTCACGGACTCGTCATCGTCGTCGGTGAATCAAAATAGCACCGTAACAGAATTGACGCTGTATGATATGCCCTTTGAGCGGATCAAGGACATTTTGGGATTCTTCGAGGCTCTTGTTGACTTGGATTTGTCTGAGAACGAGGATTTCATCGCTAGCCTGGAGTTTTTGGACCATTTGGTTCTCGATGAGAACTCCACATTGGAGCATCTTGACGTCCATGGTAACGATATTGGGGTGGAAGAAATGACAACTTTTGTCAGCAAACTATCCCGCATGAATACTCTAAAAAGTTTGAAAATCGGGTCTAATCCGTGGGAAGATTTAGGATCAGCAGAATCAGTCAATCATGCGCTGATTGCTGCCATCCAGGAGAACACAAGCCTCGAGCACATTGATATAGACTCAATTGTGCATGATATTTTGAGGAGAAATCGGGGTGGGCGACGAGTCTTTATGCCTGAAATTTCCGTATCTTTTCAACCCAATCTTTGGCCTCGAATTCTTGAAAGGGCCTCGACGATAAAGTATTACAGCTGTGGCGACAGCTGGGGATATCCATCTGACACATTACCAAGAGCAGATAATGTCTTTTGGATGATGAAACGAATGGTTCCAGAACTCTGCAAGTTTGACTGAATGAGTGAGTCAGTCGATTGAGTGAGTGTGATTGAGGGTATGTGGTATGTGAGTTTTACTAGTACTGACGAGTGCTGAATCGAGTACCAATATCCTTCGTTGCTGCAGGGAGACAATCCAAGGGGAAGTCTTTATTCCAGTGCAACAATAGAAGATCACCTGCATTCTAAAATTTGAATACCAGCTAGGGACATGGTGAACTGTAACTGTATAAAATAGTACTAGACTCAGTAAAGTAGACTACTCCACGCCTCGAATCGAATTCCTTTGGCGATCCTCCGGGTTCTCTTGGATGCCGGTTACGTACAAAGTACGCACATCAGGTAGGTTTCGACCATTTCATCATCTGCATCGCGATCATCATCCTCTGTTATTTGCGGAGATCATCTA